TCCCCTGCAGGACCAATCAGATGAGTCTTTGTCACATTGTGGCCGTCACCCGACGCCACCAAGCAAGTGTTCAGCAAGTGAAATGCAGTGCCGCTCAGGAGAATGTATCCATAAAAAGTGGAGGTGTGACGGAGACCCTGACTGCAAGGATGGCAGTGATGAAGCCAACTGTCGTATGTGCCGCTATTCACCTGTTGATTATATCTGGGCAACATACTGTAACATTAACTAGACTGAATCGATTAGTATTTTTGACTAACTGGATGCTTTGGCTTTTTTGTGCAGGATGGGTTTGGAGTTTTGTTTGACAGTCTGTCTTCAACAATCTGGTTATCTGAATTAGTCCATGCATTGAGAATACTGGCAATAGTTTCATTAGATCGGTGGAACCCAACATGTCTTCAGTTTTATCCAAAAAACAAATGCATATACAGTTGACAGTAATGTAAAGCAGCAAGTGGTCACACTTGAAGCTGGAACCAGATATTGGGGTTTAAGAGATTTACTTGAATGAACTGAACTATTTCTTCAAATGGCCTTTTTTTTTTTTTTTTTCCCCCAGCACTATGTATGTGTAACACGATGTGTCTTTACAGCTGTACACACCTGTGGACCGGATCAGTTCAAATGTGATGATGGGAATTGCATCCTGGGCAGCAGACAGTGTAACGGCCTCAGAGACTGCACTGATGGATCAGATGAAGTTGACTGCAAAAATGGTATGCACTGTGTGCAGGTGTCTCTGAGCAATTTTTTTTTCTTTTTTTGATGCAGTTTTGAGGACACTTTCTGCTGTTGGGCTTGGGTGCTTAATTGTGACATTTAGGACCTATAAGTGAATTGTCCTCAGCTATAGTGAGACCAGCATGTCTTTTGTGTGTACAGCTTTACTAATGACCTTTTTAAAATTCGTTAGGTCCTTCATGGTTATACTTGTTCGTTAATTTTGACTGAGGTTCAGAAGTTGTGTGGTGTGCAGTGGAGATGCTCTAGGCATGTACTGTAAATGGGCTCTGCATATTGTACAGATGTCTTCTATAAAGGAAAAACACCTTCTCATTCACCATGAGATGTAACGTGTAGGGTTGGGTTTTATTTTCTACCTAACGATCTAATGCTGTCACAGTCCAATCGGTTTGTTTCCTAGTTTTCCTTTGTCATTAAACGGGACTATTGCACACTGTTCTGAAAACCATTGTCAGTCGGCTTTAAAAATTCAGATGCTTTTGAGTAACTTCAGTTTTGAACCCACACTTAAGGACTCGGTGCTCAATAAAGAGCTGAAGAGCCCAAACTCTTAGGTTTATAAAACCTTCCTGAAGCTGAATACATGAAGCTTGCAACAAATGATTTTTAATTGCAGTATTGTTTTATGGATTCAGGCCTCTATTGTGCTTTCTTGCTGAAGAAGTGCCTTTTATCTTTAAAGGAACAGTGACATGTTTGGGAATGTGGTCATTTGCTCTCTTGCTAAAGGCAAGTTTAGGGGGGGGAAATAAAACGGGAAGCAATTCTCATTGCATTAACACTGGATGTTGGTGGTTTTCATGGAATAAAATTTTGTTTTAATTTGTTTTGATGTGCTAAATTGTCTTTCCATAGTTACTCAGTGTAATGGCCCGGAGAAGTTCAAGTGTCGCAGTGGGGATTGTATCGAGATGAGCAAAGTGTGCAACAAGATTCGAGACTGTCCCGACTGGAGCGACGAACCCATCAAAGAATGCAGTTAGTAAAAAAAAAAAAAAAAAAATCAGCACTTTCAAAATCTTGTTTAATGCTTCTCTAAAGCCAGCAATGCCATTATCATTCATTTATGGTTATAGATACAAGTTGACGGGGTTGCAAGCTTTAGTACCACTGTGCCTCACAATCAGTTAATGGCAATTTTAACATGATAAAGGATATTTTACTAGGGCTTACATATGTAAATGAGGAAATGACTGAAGTGATGAGGTGGTGGTGTCTTTGTGGGAAAGCTTTATTTTCAGACTAAGGGTTTAAGTGATGCATTGGAGTGCTAAAATATTGCCACAGCCCTTTTGTGCATACTTGTAGTACAATTTGTAATGTTGCATGAACCGTTATTAGCTCAGTGTTTGAAGTCTACATATGACGAGTCAAAGTGTGGTACGTTCCCAGCTGGCAACTTGTCACCAACCTGAACCTGTTTGAATTGGAAATATAAAAGCTTGACACAGGGTTGACAGTAGCATCCAACATTTATGTAGATTTCTCTTCAGTTTGCTTGGACTGTGGACAGAACATCCATACAAGACTAATGTGGGCAAATGGGGTGAAACTAGGCATAACATTCCCCTCTGTTTCACATTCTTATGCTACTATGTGGATTTTTACATCAGCCATATCTCATGCAGTATTGATGCATCCTGTATATTGGGTTTAAAATTTCTTGGCTCAAAAGCCATGGCCAAAATTGCTTTAAATTTCCCACAATGAATTCTAAACCTTTAAGTCGGAATTGTATTGTAGTTCAGTAAGAGGGAGGAAAAAACATTCTGCACATCATGATTCATTTAATGTCAGTCTAAACATTTTTATTTTGCAGTATGTTATACACCTGTTACCATGTTAATTAATCCTACTTCAAGTAGTGAGTGCACTACTTGTTCTACTGTGAACAAATGGCGAGTAGATTTATCTTGTGTAACAAACATGGTTGTACTTTTCCATTAGATGGCTGTTTTGTAACTGGAGCTCTGTGCCACCAGTACTTGCTGTCAAAGGGCAGTTTTGGTCTTTCTTCCCCCCCCTTCTGCTTTCCAACCTGTGCCAGTGGTCATGAGCTTTGTAGTGATTGAAATGAAGAAATATTCCCTTTCAGTGAGCAACAGAGATGGTAGCTCAGACCTGTAGGCTGTCGGTTGGATAGGCTTTTAACTAGGGGTGTAAAGGTTAATTGTTTTGGTACAGGACTAAAAGTTCAGTGCAGATATGCACTGAATGCAGTTTTTTTAATAGTGAACTGTGGGCAGAAGTCCCCCAGTCCGCATTCCGACACTATCATTAAATGGCAGTCTGGAGTGCAATAAACACAGCATGCTTACAGGATTACAGTTTAAATTAAAACTGTTTTTGCATGCATGATGATTAGTCTTGGGTGGTATTGTTGCAACAAAGCCCTGTCTCCATTTGCTTCAGATTTGAATGAATGTCTCCTGAACAATGGTGGCTGCTCTCACATCTGCAAAGACATGGTAATTGGCTTCGAGTGTGACTGCACACCTGGACTGCAGCTCATTGACCACAAGACGTGTGGAGGTACGTTATCCTTACACTAGAGCCATCTTGACTCAACATCTGTAGATGCTCTATTTGCACTTGATGTTTTGTCAAAATGCCAGTTAGAGGTCTGGGGGTAATACTGCATATGAAAAGTTGTTCTGTTGAGCCTTTGTGAAGAGAGCTGTGTGGAGTCTGGTAAATGTCCTCAAGTGATGTCACTTGAAGTTGGCATTAGACACAAGTGAGCTCACCAGGCCCTTAAGCCCACTTCTCATCTCTGCTTGACACTCTTGGCTGCTACTAGTGCTGCATAACATCACCAGAAGTTCAACTGAGCTGTTCAATCAAAGTCAAACATGTCACAAAATCTGATGCTTAAAAAAATGAGTACTCTTAAAACAGTCCTATAATTTTTCAGCAAACTCCAAGATTGTCCCAAAATGTCTTGGACCTGGTCCAAATTAACCCTTTAACTACACCTGACAGTGTGTAGTGAAAGTTGGTGCATTTTCCTACATTTTAGTTGTTCAGAGCAGAGAATCCACTTGCCTACTGTAATGCTGATTGGTGGAGGTATACAACTATGAGGCAGTAATTTTTTGTTTAATAGAACTGGGGAAAGTGTCACTTATGTTTTTGTATAAAGTGTGTTCAGTAAACATGACTGTGCTGTCAGGGACACACTACAGTATCCAAAGTGTTGTCATTCACCCTTTGTCACCAGCTCCACTCATCAGTACTTGTGATGGTGAGGCAAACATTTACTTTTTCCACATTAAATGCTGTTTAGATACTGATGGTGCAATTTCATCAGCTACATGTACTTGTCTAACTTTTACATGCAGTGAGTTTTGGTGCCCCAGTGTCTCCATCAGCCACTCTGTATTGTGATTATGTACTGCAAAGCAATTAAGACATCATGATGCAGTGCTTTGCTTAATTGAGCCCTGTTGGTTTGTATTAACTGCTGTAGCCATCAGCCACTTAGTTTGTAACACTGGCTGTTGTCCATGAAAATAATATGAATCGGTATTTGTGTGGGATTTGCATTGACCATTTATGGCTAATTAGTATGTGGCTCAGATTGAACTGATCTGATGGCTTTGTTATTGAGCCGATCTTGGCCTCAATCATTGCTGTGGATACTGGAAGTGTTTGCAAGATCCCACCTGGAATTAACTGGCTGCTTAATCTGCTCCCAGATGTAAAATCACCACTGAACTCATTTATGTTCAGTTCTGAGAGCAGCTTGTTGCTAAAGACTGCTCTGGTGAAAGTGTATCCTGAGCTGATATCAGTTTAGTCCTGTACAATAGGAATCACGGGGATGTTATGTAGAATTGTTTTTTTTAAAGCAAAGTATAATTTAATAACTGTCTAGACAGGCTTTTAAGTGCAAATGCGTGATTACCTCAATTGAAGCATTCACCAGACTTAATTAAAGATGACAGATACCAGCTGTCTCCTTCTCCTCTTCCCCAACCTTTCATTTCTCTGTATTTAGACATCAATGAGTGTCTGAACCCTGGAATCTGTAGCCAGATCTGCATCAACCTGAAGGGAGGATACAAGTGTGAATGTCACAATGGCTACCAGATGGATCCAACCACTGGAGTCTGTAAGGCTGTTGGTGAGTCGGCAGCCTGGCAATATGTTACAACTCCTTGAAATGCAACAGCAGCTTTGTACAGTGGTTAACTATGGCATACCAACTTCATTTTTTGTCTTGAGCTTTATTTTATTCCCAACACTCATTCACTTCAATCTGAGAACCATTTCTAATATTTTGGTGTCACTTGATTAATATCAAATGAGGGTAGACTATTTTTGCTTCTGAAAGGTTTTTATTGTAGAACTTTTATTGGCCTCCGTTAGGTGTGTATAGTTGTCCCTAAAAGTGAATGGGAAGGGCCTGTTTAACAATGTCCTGGGGAAAAATATGGGCTAAAATAGGATAGTTTGCAACATACTATCATTGGATCACAAACTCTAAAAACCTGTCTTTCTGGAAAATTAAATTACAGCATTTAGTCAGAGTATAATGTAATTGTAATTTAAATTTAGTGGAGAATGTTTTCAGCTTTAGTAGAAGCTTTTGGAGATGGGAGTGGAATTACATCTCAAGACAAACTGTCCAAATCTTCTCAATCTGGAAAAATTTGCAAAAATGTGTGGTGTGGAGGAAATTTTTGTTCTGACAGAACTGCCCCAGTTCAAATGTTATACTCGGCTTTGGAGAGCCAAGTGAACAAGATATTGGGGGGGCTCTTCAGTGAAAACGGCTGTGTATAGTAAGTGGGGAAATGTGGCAAAAGAATAGTTGTAGAAATGAACTTCAGAAATTATCAGGTTAACTTCAGTGAAACACCAAAGGCTTGTTGTCATTCAGCTGGATATGCAGATGTTGTCCTAGTCTGACTTCATGTGGTTTGTTTCTGCAGTAAAAAGGCTCAATTGTTTCCTTGTTGACAAAGACATTGTTGTATCCTTCAGCTTGGTTTTCCCCTCAATCTGTAATGGAATACAGTAACCCTTTAAATAATTTTCAGAAATATCATTATTTGGACCATTTACTTAGAAATGATCTGGTTCTACACTATGAACTGGTCATTTGGTCTGTTCAGATAGACTCTGGGTAATGAGCAGCCCACTCACTTTGTCCACTCCACACCTTGTCCAATTCATCACATGTAAATGTCTCCTGAGGTAATTGAAAAGATCAGTCGGCAA